GATAGAGTTTGTGGGTGAAAATGAGCAGTTAGGGAGCCCGGAGAGATTGGTGAGGCTGGGTTATGCAGCATCTCAGGTAGTACTAATTCGAATTTTTCCAGAAGGTGCTGGGAAATTGTTCTAAGCAAAGAAATAACAAGACCAAAATTGTGATTTAGAGCAGTATCTCAGGAAGTAGTCTAGAGGATAGCAGAAGGGGCACACTGAAAGTAGGGGGAACAGTTTGGTAATGGCTATGTTAATCCAGGTGAGAAAATGGGAAGTGGCAGCACTCAATTTTACTAGTAAATGGTGAGTTCACTGAACAGAATTATCACAATGTATTTAACTCATCCTACTTTAATCTATGCTGCTTTCAAGTCTTCACTATTATAACAGAGGTGCACTGGACATACATGTAACTTTACATATTTTGAATTATTTTCCAAGACCAGGTTGCCAGAGTAAGAATAGGAGTTAGTAGGCATGGATACTTTTAGATCAGTTGATGCAAGTTTATGACATGCTCTTTGAAATATCTCTTCTGTGAATATTTTAAATACATTTTCCTCCCATTTTCTTTGAAGAATATACTTTAAGAAAACTGAAGACACATTCTTTTCAGTTTGACACATTCTTTTGATAATCATTGATCCCTTTCCCCCCATTATTTCTAACAGAGATGAAAACTTGTGAGATTTTCTTGGCTTGCGGTCTTTTTTGTGCACCTTTATCTTTAACAAAATCAAAGTGTATGAAGGATTATACCTCAGACGATAGCCAGTATATAGGGGTAAAAACAAAGTGTTTTTTTTTTTTTTTAAGTATTGGCATTAAAAAGCTAACAGAGAAAATTAAAAATAAATGAATAAAATCAGTGATATTTAGAATGTAAATAACACTGGTTACTTTATTAAAAGGAAACTTATTAGGTCAAATTAGGGTTTATATTTAATGCTTGGTAGAATCCCTTTAGGTTAAGCCTCTTTTAGTTAATTTGATCAATCCATGGATTTGAAATGCAAAATGACAACCTTATATTAACCCAGTGATGACGAACCTATGAACACGCGTGTCAGAGGTGACATGTGAACTCATTTTTTTGGTTGATTTTTCTTTGTTAAATGGCATTTAAATATATAAAATAAATCTCAAAAATATAAGTCTTTGTTTTACTATGGTTGCAAATACAAAAAATGTCTATATGTGACACGGCACCAGAGTTAAGTTAGGGTTTTTCAAAATGCTGACACGCCGAGCTCAATAGGTTCGCCATCACTGTATTAACCCATATAAGCAACTTTCAAAAGAAACACTATAATGAGAAAAACATGAATTATGAAAATATCTTGTAATAGAAAACATTCTGTAAGGTCACTCCTGTGTATGAGACAACAGAGCCATCTGATGGAATGATAGCAGAAACATTTCTGAAGTGGGAAAAGCTTCTCTGGTGGAAATGTCAAAAGAAATCAGAATCAACCTGTTGTAGAATTTTGAGATCATCTACATTAAGCATGAATCAGATTTGCATATTTATGCTATGTGATCAAATAAAACTGAATATCTGTGCTTATGCTCATGGTTCCTCCAACCTGGTTTACTTCATCCCTCTCTATCTTCGGCTCAGGTGCCCCCTTTTCTGGCCTCGTTTCTCTGGCTTTCTGATGACTCTATTTATAAAATATCCTGCCTGTTTAAGAATAGCAGCATTTAGAGTCCAAGCACGAGAATGTTGGACACACTTCCCTCTCTGAGAACCCTTAGACTACTTGACATTACCTCACCTGAGTGGTTCCTGTCATTTATTGAGTTCAGAATCTATAAATTAGAGTCTAACTCAATGGGAGCCATCTCCTGTAAGTTAGGGGCCCATGAGGTAACCTAACATAAAGTATTCTCCCAATAGAAATGCCCAGTAATGCATGGTGCCTGGGTAATAACAATCAGGACTAACATCTGTTTAGTACTTACTAGGCACCAGGCACTGCTTGTGCAGCATAAACGTGCAACCAAAAGATTTGTCAGCTGCAACTGCATTGCTGACTGCTTGAGAAACGTTTCCAAACTTATAGGTAACAGCTGCAAAGGGTCCCCCCAAACCCTCCAAACTTCTCTAGCTGTCCTATTGTTTCTCTAAGGCCCTTGGTCCTGTCTACAATCCAGGCACTAAAGAGTTAACACCTGGTCCTGCAGGAGCTCTCTTGAATTCTGCTCTAGCCTCCCAGCACTGCAGCACCCCAGGGGGCAGTCTTACTGACAGTATTCATTTAGGGAGCATTAAGTACTTGTGCTCTAGTGCCAACTACCTGGGTTCAAATCCTAACTCTCCTACTTACAAGATATGTGATTTGGGGCAAATTAATCTTTCTTTTTTACTCAGTTTTCTTCACCTCTAAAATGGAGATGATAATGTATCTATCTCAAGGGATGGTTTTGAAATTAAATGCATCAATATATACAGAGCATTTAGAAGAGACTTGACTCATAGTAGGTATAATAAAAGTGTTATCACCTGAGGATATTTTTCCATTGATTTTTAGAGAGCGTGTAAGGGGGAGAGACAGAAAGAGAGAAACATTGATGTGAGAGAGACACATCAATTGGTTGCCTCCTGCATGCTCCCCAATCAGGGCCTGGATTGAACATGCAACTGAGGTATGTGCCCTTGACCAGAATTGAAGCCAGGACCCTTCAGTGCGAGGGCTGACGCTCTATCCAGTGAGCCAATCTGGCCAGGGCTACAATTGTATTTTTTTTTATAACTCTTTCTTGTAGAAGGATTAAAACCATCTTAACTCCCCACCAGCTTAAATTTTATCAACTCAAATAATGAGGACTATGGATAACCTGCTATGGATGAGGCAAAAGCAAAGACATAAAAACAAATAAAACATGATCCCTTTCATGAAGAATCCTATTTAAAAGCTTAATATGCTAAGTGACCGGTCATCTGGCCATCTGTTTAACCAATCAAAGTGTAATATACTAATGATATGCTAAGGCCATTCAACCGCTCACTGTGATGTGCACTGACCTCCAGGGGGCAGACAGTTGACTGGTCAACCAGTCGCTATGATATGCACTGACCACCAGGGGGCAGACGCTCCAACTGGTATGTTAGCTTGCTGCTGTGGTCGGGCCGGCGAGATGTGCCAGACATGCCCTGGAACCCTCCTGCAGTCCCTCCCCGGCTGGCCAACCTCCCGTGTCCCTCCCTGGCCCTGATCATGCATCGGTGGGGTCCCTCGACCTGGCTTGCACCCTCTCGCAATCCAGGACCCCTCGGGGGATGTTGGAGAGCCAGTTTCAGCCTGATCCCACAGGCCAGGCCGAGGGACCGCACTGGTGCACAAATTCGTGCACCAGGCCTCTAGTCTTACAATAAAGTACTGTGATGGAATTGAAGGCTTCCATGTGATAAAGAAAGTGATTCAGGTTGTTCAGGGATAGCAAACTCAAATTCCAGGCAGATAATGAAGAGACGCCATGGGCTAGATGGTGAACACCAGAGCTGACACCCCTTTCCAAGAAGGAGCCAACATGTGGCTCTAGCCAGTCATTGCCATGACAAAATGTGGCCCCAGTGATGCCAGTATTCCAAATCTCCAAAGAATGCCAGAAATCTGGATTTTTATGTTAAATTTTATAATTTTTAAATATTGGCAATGAAAGTATAAAGTAGAGAGTAAAGAAGAAAAGAAAGTTTCTCAATTACCACATAGAAGATCTCAAAAAGACTGGAATGCTGCTCAGAGTACGCAGAAGTTCTAGAGGGCCCCTGGGTAGAGTGATAGCTGTAATGACCCTAATTTTCCCCCAGCAGTGGTATCTAGAATGGTATTGAGAGATGTTGGTTGAAATATTTAACCATTAGCACAGCTAGTAAAAATAACAACAACAACAAAAATACAACTGTAAAAGAACATATAATTGAGGAAGTTGAGTGAACAAGTTTTTATGAGTCACACAGATAATATTAGAATTGGAACTCCATCTAGTTCAACTGTCAGGCTGTGGTGATGTGGGAAGTTCCTTAAATAATTCCCATTCTTCCTTGGCAGTTATATGACCCTGAACAAATCACTTAACTCCTGTGGACCTATTTCTGCCTTGGCAAAATATAGGTAATAGCAAATGTTCCCTGCATGTTTTGTAAGTACTAAATGAGACATAATATTGTCTGGTTATGAAATGCTTATAAAATGTTAATATACTTGCTAAGTATGATTGTTTTTATGGTGGTGATTCTAGATGAAAATACAAAGGCTCCAGAAGGACTTGCTACATAGTTGAAAAGTCAGAATTAGAACCCAAACCACATGAATCCTGGCTCATAGGTTTTTTAATGAAACATCATTCATATTGTAGCTGACTGTAATTGAAAGATTAAGGAGAATAAAAATACTCCACTGGAGGCAAGATAAACCAGGGATTCCCCTAAATTTGTTTCAGTTATTATAGCTATACCTATACTCTGATTATCCTAGTATAGAAGAGAAAGTCAAAAGACTGAACTAAAGGTATTCTTCATTTGATAAAAACTTTTGATTTGAACATCTATTATGGAGTTAGAGGCATGTCCTATGACTTAGTTCTTGGGATTTTGCTGGTGCAATTCTCAGGTTAGTAACTAGGTGAATGGTCTTTGTTGTTTTCTTAAGAATCTGTTCTTTTTGGTCCGGATTATCTGAAGACAGGTGAATGTTACAAAAGTAAAAATTGTACCCCCTCTTTCAGTCTCCAGAAGCTGACTTGCCTTGGCTTTATTGATAAATGGGGACAACTGTGCCTCAGCAGCGACTCTGGTCATGTATTTATATAACTCGCCCCCAGATATGAAACTTCTCAGGACATGCTCTTCAAAAAAGACAATAGCTTAAAACATTTTAGAATGTAGTTTTTGACCCTGACTCTGCCACTTTTCTTTCCTCTGAAACCATAATGCTTTTGTATAACAACATCAAACATACCAGTGTCAGCTTTAAAAAGCACAACACTTCAATTTTTTTTTGTTTTAGTGTTGGTTTTTGTGTCCTGGGACTCAGGGGTGATTCTGTCCGCTGCTGGTATGAAGACCCTGAAGCTCTTCACCTCTAGCCCCTGCTGGAAATAGGCCGTGTCAAGTCTATCAAGGGATCCTTGCAAAGATTATAACTAGAGTGTAGGAGGTTTGGTTATTTTGTTTAAAAATGTTTTTCTTTACATATCAAGCTATACGACAGTTTAGGGATGACAGTTTTACATTGTAAAACACAGTTACAGAATAGTATTTCATGAAGTGCTTTTTTGAAGTAAAGTAAATTTTGATGCAATAAGTTTGAGGTAAGAAAAAAGAAAGAAGAGAATCAAATCTCAGGTACTTATGCCTCTGGTCAAAGACATTAGAGATGCTAAAAAAGAAGACTTTTGGGCTGAAATGCCTTTGGCAAAATTATTTAGGAATAAATAATGTAAAATACCCCAGAGTATAAAGTAAGAATAGAAATCTTGACTAGTTGGACAAGATCTTAATTTATTTCATGATATTTCCCAAACCACATATGTAAGGTGATATAGAATATCCAGCTTGTCAGCAGAATGTTGGGCTTTGTAATTTTAAGTTATTCAATTGGATGTGGAAATGACAAAATTTACCTCATTATAAAAGTCTCCTATATTAATTTTAAAATTTAGCTCTCCAATCATCATACTTTCTTGACAACCAAATTTGGTTGTGTGCATGACCTGTTATTGGACTTTTTGTTTATTAACTATTACAGGATTCAAGAGATGAATGTAATGAGACGGAAGGCAGCAGGATGAGTAAATTAAGAAGGACAAGAAAGAAAGTCACTAAATCACATATTTCTTCAACTGAAATAGGAGGAATGGATATGTCCATCTCAAAAGGTAGTTTGTATAACTGCTCAGCTAAGAGCACGAGACACTTAATCTCAAATATCTTGTTACCATTATCTCTCAAGAATATGTCATCAATGACAATCTCTATTTGGTCCACATTTTCATAATACATTTGCTTTTCTTCTATGGAAGAAGCAAAAACAAATAAAATTTATTTGTACAAAGTCAACATAAAAGATGGTAAATACAGGGTTACAATGTAAATATATAAAAACAATCAGCCAAAATATTCAGAATTTAAAGGGGGAAGAATGAGGAGATACAGTGGGAAAAAAAGAGAGAATATAAAAGAAGCAACACATAAGTAAGAAGAGAAGCACATTTCTGTTCTGAGAATGAGCACAAAGATCATTACTGAAGATTTGGGAGGCCACAATAAAGGTGGGGGTACGTTTTCATACCACATGTTGGAATTCCAACTAGACTCTAATGGGCCTGAAACAGTGATGAACCTAGGAGTTAAATTGGACAACAGACTCCATTCTAGGAACAGTGGTGTTTTCCAAGGCAGGTCAGTAGGAAAGGGCAGTGCATGGCAGCAATCAAAAGCAGTCAGACTTTTTCTAGATTTTTATAATTATTTTTAAATTCTCTAGAGACATTGCACCCCCTTATGGCCTGCAACCAGGGTGTACTATGCTCACTGCCCTTTATTTGGCATTTTACTGCCTAGGAATAAATTATTTCCTCAAGCATTTCTCTCCATATCACATTGGAAGACAGCTGAAAACAATGGCAACGTCCCTTAACATTTTTCTGTATGACTACAGAAAGGATCAAAGAACAAATGGTGTGTCACACATTAGGGGATACGAGCAACCCAGCTGTGGGAACTGGCTCTGATGAATCGCATCCGCAAGATGACAAGGACTCCCAGGATCATACAGCAGAGATGAAACCCTCACCCCTCAAAACATCAGCCAGGGCTCCTGGTAATGAATTCAACCCAGACTCCAGCTGTACCGGTAAGGACTCTGGGACAAACTGGCATATAGTTCCAGCCACTAGTCCTAAATGTGCATGTGAATTAGAGATAATGTGATGTTGGTTGAGGAATGCTAGCCTGGGAGTCAGAATACTTAAAATAATTTATACAGCTATCATTGATAAAAGTGCTTTACAGTTTTCTTTACACACAAGGCTGCTCATCTAGAAAATGGAAAGGTTGTAATGGATGATCTCTCAAGTCTTCTAAAAGTGAAATTCTGTTATTCTAAATTTATGGCTTATTAATAGTGATACGGCTAATTCAGACTATGAATGTATTGGTTAAAAATCTCTGAGATCCAAATGACAGAAACTAGTTAAAAAGAGGTATTTTTTTCTCCCCACGAGGGAATCAATGTTGAAAGGATTGAACAAACAGGTTTGGAAAGTAAGAAAATAGCAGTTTGTGACGTTAGAGGTACAGTATCCACCAAACAATGCTTACTTCTGACACTAATTGCATATTTGGGAATTCCCCAAAATTAGTTTTGATAATTCACTATAAGGACTCACAGAACTCACTGAAAGTGATTATACTCAAGGTTATGGTTTATTATTGTGAAAGAATACAGATTAAAATCAGCTAAGAGAAGTAACTCATGGGGGGAGTGCAGAAACGTTCTGAGCATAGAGCTTCCACTTGCCTTCTCCCAGTGGAGTCATGGACAACACTATTCTCTTGGCAACAATGTGTGAGTGTTGTAACCAGGGATGCTCACCTGAGTCTTGATGCCCAGAACCTTTATTGGGGTTCCACAGCCAACTGGCCATGTGACTGACCTGAGTCTTCAGTCCCGCTGAGGGTCAAGCTGATACCACATGACTCAACAATAAATGACATTGCTAGATATTCTAGTGGGGCCACAAGCTCTCGGTAAACTACTCTTGTCAGGCAGGAAATTCTGAAAGCTTAGAGATGACTTCCCAGGGACCAAGGGTAAAGGCCAGTGCTCTCCTTGGGCAAGGGGAAATTCTTTACTACACACAGGGCCTGAGGAGGAAGTAGAGCCTGGGAGTGAACGCTATTAGGACTCCATATACATTAGTTTTCTATTGCCAGCATAACAAATTACCACAAACTTAGCATCTTGAAAGAACACAATTCATTATCTCAGACTTCTGTATGTCACAAGTCTGGGTTGGCTGAGCTGGTTTCTCTTTCACAGGTTTTGCAAGGTCAAAATCAGAGTGTTGGACCTCTAGCTTCTTAGCCAGAGACTCTAGGGACTATCCACTTGCTGTTCATGGAGGTTGTTGGGAGAATCCAGTTCCTTACAGTTGCAGGACTGAGGTTCTTATTTCCTTGCTGGCTGCCAACTGGGGTGGCTCTTAGCTCCTAGAATCCTCTCTCTGTTTCTATATCTCTCAGCCAGCAATGCCTCAAATCCTTCTCGTGTCTGGAATCTCTCTGAATTCCCCTTCTTCCGCAAAATAATATTTTTTTTTTGCTGCCTACAATTAGAGAAAGTTCTCTGCCTTTAAGGGCCAACATGGATAATCCATAACGATATTAATTTTTAAGATTTGTACATAACCTTAATAACATCTGCAAAGTCCATTCTGCCATACAGTTTGATGTAATCTACAGGTTCCAGGGTTTAGAGTCTGAAAGTCTTTGGGAGGCTATCACACTATCTCTCATCTTTGCATTTCTCTGTGCTTTTTGGTTTCATGAATTTCTCCATGAAAAGCATGAGCACTGACAGCCCCTAAGCATCAGGGATTATCAACACAAGTGGTACAGGGGCCAGGCAAATAATACAAATGCATGAGGTGGGCTGGTAAAAGAAAACAGGAAGTGGTGCTGGCTGAGAAACTAGAGTAGAGGGTGACAAATGATAGCCCACGGGCCAAATTAGCTTGTGAGCTGGTTTTTGTAAAGAATCTTTAAGTATTGTCTATGGCTGTTTTTGTGCTACAATGGCATAGTTGAGTAGTTGGTTACCATTTGGCCTGCAAAGTTGTAAATATTTGCTATCTGGCCCTTTATAGAAGGTATTTGTCAATCCATGAGTTAGAGCATGCATGCACCATTCCAGGCTACCTTAGAGCTCCAGCCAATGGTTGCTATGAAGACATATCCATCTAGTATTTCAAATCTAGTTTTATCAAGAGAAGCCTGAGCTCAAAATTTTTATATGAAATTTTCTGATATTTGAGTGTCAACTCATTCAAAATATTTTTCAAACATTGGGAAGACTAATTTGAAAACATCTGCCAGCCACATTGGCTCTTCCACAAGCAATTGGTAACCTTCAGCCAAAAAAGGGAGATGGAATTTTCCATTGCTTAGTCTCAAGTCAAAAAATCTGAGGAAAGAATTTGTGTCATGAGCTGTCTCTGCACAAATCAGCTAGGTGCTTGGGTATCATGATTGACTCAATTTAGTTAATTCAGAAGCTCCCTCTCTGGCCCAGGGCAGGATGAAGTTTTTTAAAGCCCTAAGCACCAAAAAGTTTACAAACCCAAACAAAACACATTCATGTGTATTTTAAATTAATTTAAAATTAAACATAAAAAATAACCCCCCAAATAAGTGCAAAGAATTTCAACGTTGTATTTTCTTCTCTATAATACTTACTCTGAATTTCCATATGTATACGAAAAGTTCCTCCCTCTCCCTCACCCACATTTCTACATTTTATTGTTTCTGTCCCTGCTTTGTACCAGGTTATTCTGCCACCTGGGCTTTCCAACACTGCGGGGCTAGCACGAGGGTGGGGTACATTTGCACTAGCAGGGTGGCTCTCAGAGGGGACATGTGGATACAGAGGAGCAGGCCCTGGGAAGGGCGCGTGGCAGATTATCCCCGGCATTCCATAAGCTGAATGCTTATAGAGTGCACTTTCTGAATTAATATTTCTGAAAGCCCACATGCCTAGCTAATCTGCCTTTTATAAGTGACTATGGCTTGCTCACTACAACGGAACTATGTCCTTGTTGTCACTGAACACAGCCTTCTAGTTGCGACAGAGCTTGGAGGTTTTATGTTTTTTTGTATGTATTTTCTGATTTCTTCCCCCTAAACATTCACACTGGTAAAACTTCCTCTATAAAAGCACACTGATTTAATTTATTAGTCCTCTGAGGGGATGGAAAAGGAGAACGCCTCCCAGGAACCACACTGTAAGAAAAACAAATGAGACCCTGAACTGGCAATTATCTGCCTGCTATTCATCATGGGCATCTGGGAAGGGCTGACCAAAAGGTTTAATTGTAACTAACAAGTATGATTTATTTGAAGAAAAGAAATTCAGACAATGATGCAGCGAGATTAGTTACTGCCTTGAAAATGAAATTAGATTGGATAGGGTTCTCATAGTTGGTGAAAGAAATGAACTTTCAAATGAAAAATGGATACTAAGGAAACATGCCAAAATATGTGATGTCAATTTTTGCTTCTTAATTAGACAAGGTCAAATCACACACCATGTATTGATGAATGAATGAATGAATTAATTGACTCACACACCTGCTTATGAAAGCCATCAAGTGCCTATGATATGCCTGTACTGCTACAGGTACTAGGGTTACAGCAGCAAGTAAACCTCAGCCCCTGGTTTCTTGGAGCTGACATGCAAGTGGGAAAGACAGGCAGTAACATGTGTCATACAATATGCAGGTGGTGATGAGGACTCTGAATGAAACTAGATAAAATTTGTTATGGACTAAATTGAATTTCCCCAAAATTCATATGTTGAAGTCCAAGCCCCTAGTACCTCATAATGTGACTACTTGGATATGGGATTTTAAAAGAGGTAATTAATGTTGAATGAGTCGTGTAGGGTCTCCCCTACGTCCAATATGACCGGTGTCCAGTATGACTGTGTCCTTATAAGAAAAAGAGATGAGGACACACACACACATAGAGGGAAGACCATGTAAAGAGGACATCTGTAAGCCAAGGAGAGATCCTCAGAAGAAACCAACCCTCCTGACACCTTGATCTTGGACCTTTACTCTCTAGAGCTGTAAGAAAATAAATTTCTGTTAAAGTTACCTGGTATTTGTTATGGCAGCCCTAGCAAACTAATACATATACTCACTATCTAGCCATAGAGAAACTTGGTGATCTTAAACCGAATCAATGGTTGGACCTGTGCTCATTGTGATCAAATCCCATAGAATTAACATTCTAGGTGATTATGTTTTATTCATTTTTTACCACAAATTATCTCAGCTTTGCATTCAATGACATGTTTATTGTCTACAGTTCCCTCATTCAATAATATAAAGCTGTATGAGGGCAGGGATTTTTCTGCAGCTCCCTAGACTATGTCCAGAATAAATAGTAGTGGTAACTAAAAAAAAAAACCCACAAAACTATCTTGAGTGGATCAATATTTTTATTTTTTTAAAATAACACATTTATTGTAGAAACTTAGAAGATACAGATAAGGTAAAAGACTAATAGGATTGATTACCTGTAATCTGACATTCTAACTTTTTATGTTGTTAAAATATGGGAGTGGGGAGGAGGAGGGGTCATTGGGGAAAAATGAAGAAAAAAAGGGGCACATCTCTAATACTTTCAACAATAAAGATAAATTAAAAAACAACAAAAAATTTTGTAGCTTATATGTAATTGCTCATGATGTTTAGAATACGGATTATCTGAAAATTTCCATATTTTAACATGCTTATAAATTTTCTTTTCTTTAAGGAGAATTATTTAACTTGGGCCGAATACCCAATAATTCAGAATAGGTTGGGAACACAGCAACTGCTAATTTAGCATGAAATACTGTAATTGCTACAGCTTAATTGTTTGTGTTAAATGGAAGGTAGTAATAAACCCTCAGGAATCTCAGTGTAGCCAAATGTATCAGTAACAGGACATTATCTCTAATATATTTGCATAGGTGAAACCAGTAATTTGTTTTCCTCATGCTTCATGTACTTTAAATCTACTTAATCTATATTTTAAACTGTCCATCTTTATGCTTATTTTTAAAGCCTAATTATATGTCAAAAAGGATACTCAGGTATCACTTTAAAATTAAAGCTGCTCACTGTCAGGGATGTGACAGATTGATGGGTATTCAATTCACATATGATCATAGTACCATTACTAGACTTACAGTAATGGTGCTCACTGTTTGCATTTAAGAAGCACTGATATGGTGTTTACTATCTTCCAGGAACTGTTAAATAACTTGTCATAACAAGCCTGTGCTATAGGCTTTAATCATCATAACAAGCCTATAGGTGTATTGTATCAATGAGAATGCTGAGGCACAGAGAGCATAAGTCTTTGGGGTAAAGGCAGGATTTGGAGGTTGACAGATGATCTCCAGTGTTTGTGCTGAATCCCTACAGTCTGCTGCCTCTCCAAAGGTGCGGACGGTAGATAACATTTGTGATGAGTACTATGTGCCTGACCCTTCTATGTGCTTTATAACTCATCAGCATAACATTATATTTCATTCATTTTATGGTGATGAGTTACCCACTGGAAACCAAAGGTTCAGATATTGGTTTCAATTTTGGCAATGAACTGAGAGTGTGATTTGGGGCACCTCGTACCTCTCTAGGACTCAAGCTAATGAGTTGATTGGATTAGATTATTTATCCTCCAAAGTCTCTTCTAATTGTAAAGTTTTAGAATTTGAAGACTATTTTAAACGTCTTGAAAAGAACAAAAAACTTTTTTGGCTTCTAATTTTAGTGATTATTGGTATCGGGGGTCTGCCTATACCCCTTTGTCATTCCATCTTTTGTTTTCTGGTTGCTCTAGGTTTCTAATGTTAAAATTGAGTACTCAGTCTAGATCTTTCATCTCCTGCACTCTCATTCTTGAAAAATTATTTTGTTTGCTTATTGACACAAATTTTAAATTTGACAGAAAGATGTAGATGCCTTAGATTCAGATGACATTTTAAAGATATAAAGCCCTTTTGGCAAACAGAACAGAACAAAACAAAACAACCCCAGAACTTTTAATTTAGATATTACCAGTTCAAGGAGCTCAAAGTGTTTTCTTTTCAATGGTAGTCATCTATATACAGATTTATATGATGCCAAAGCTGTCTAATTATGCAAATATATTCTAATTTCCATAAGCAAAGGCATTTTCAGTAAGTATTTACATATGATATTGCTATGTACTTATGCAAATGATGTTAACTTTCACCTAGTCCCAAGTGATAAACAATCTCCTAGGCCCTTTAGAGACAATGTTCTTGGGAATACGTAAGGTCAAGTAAGAAAGGTAAGATTTCTAGCTCTAAGCCAATGACACGAATGTCATAGTTAATAATCATAAAGAATAATCCACTGCTATCCAGCCTCCTTTTGCTTCTCATTTCATCATGGTCTAATGCTTTAGAACCATTCTCTGTTTTACAGATGACACTGGGGACAGCACACAAATTCTGAAGGTACCTCAACTCTCCTCTAGAATGAAGCACATTAAAAAAGAGATGGCCAAAAATCACCTTCAGTTTGTGCGATTTGAAGCAACAGATCTCCATGGGGTGTCCAGGTCTAAGAGTATCCCTGCACACTTCTTCCAGGTGAGTTTTACAAGTAGAGTTATGACTGAATGTAATTTCATGACCATTAGCAAGCCAATGGTCCTTATTACTCTTTCTTATTTTATTGAAATCTACACAGCAAGTTTAGCTGAAAACCAATACTTTATTTTGTTTCTTCTCTTGTCCCTTCCCAAACACATTATTGCTCCCCAAGGAGCTGAACACATAATTTCAGCTCCCAAATAGCCATTCCTTTACCCAATAGAAATATAAAACTAATTAAGACTGGTAATTTTAGTCCTTCTGCTTTGAATAATTTCCCTCTACAGAATTATCTTTTCTCTCTTACTGCAATTATGAAGATTATATTTTGTTTGACATGAGAAAATTGCAACAGAAGACCCAGGAGCAAATATAAAAGGGGGAAAAATAATTAAATAGAAAGAATTTGCTAGATAAAAAGCATATCCCTTTTGGCTTCTATTTCTGATAAGAAAATACTCTATTGTTGGATGACTTAATGACTATTAAGTTCTCTAAAATAGTGATATTAAGAAATATTGTAGTTTTGGATATGTTCTAAGATTTTAAGATTTTTTTCAGTTTATATCATGTCTTCATTTTAATGACAGGTATATTGTGCAACTGAAACATTACTTTTTAGGAATGAGACATCAGTCAATATTATATAAAAAAGATAATAGTTAAGCATGCTCTAAATTAAAAAATATGTAATTGTTATCACTGTGATATCAAATTGTAGTTTTTCTCATAGGCTTTATGCTGGAAAAAAACTGGGCATCTTCAAAACACCTTTTAAAACAATTGCTAACAGATTCAAATTTGTTTCATAAGAAATTACTTAGATCAGCCTGCAGATATTGTTTCCTCTTTATCCAGGCAATAGCAAATGTTGGTTACTTTTGATAACAAAATGTGAAATTTACTGTGGATAGGCCTAGGATCTAATTCACATGACTTTCTTTCAATCAATAAGAAACCATAACTGGCACTTCAGATACTTGCCAGAGACCTCAATATAAAACTTTTTGTTACTCAATTTTTGCCAACTTCTAATCATTTATTCTACTAATGGCATCTGAAACTACATTTTTAAAACCTTACTCTAGTTCCTCAATGGAACTCCTTTATGAAAATATAATTTAATATGCTCCCTGTATTTGCTGAGCATTGATATAATTGATGTACAGAGAAAATTTCTGCATTCTATTTTTTTTTATTGCTATTGAAAATATTTTCCATGATCTTATTCAATGTCCCACATATAAGAACCACTTTTATTTTCCTGGAGTTTAGATAGGGCAATTGCTATTTATTCTTAACCCCAGTTTTCTAATACATTTCATTACCATTATTATTATTTAATGATTGTACAGTAGTTTTAACAAAACAACTCAAATTTATTTTGGAACTTTTGAAGGTATAAATGAGAATGAATATTTGTGTATAGCATGAATATTTATAATTTAAGATTAATTGATTTTGGAAAATTTATCATGACTAGACTTTAAAAATAGGTTAATCTGTGCAAACCAATGTTTACATTGTGTGTCTGGCCCAGGTGGCATGGCTCAGTGGTTGAGCATTGACCTATGAACTGGGAGGTCATGGTTCAATTCTCAGTCAGAGCACATGCCCAGTTTGGAGGCTCAATCCCCAGGGGTGGGGGGTAGGAGGTGTGTAGGAGGCAGCTGATCGATGTTTCTAGCTCTTTATCCCTCTCCCTTCCTCTCTGTAAAAAATCAATAAAATATATTTAAAAAAAATATATTTAAAAAAAATAAACATTGTATGTTTGTATATATATAAAGCTACCTGTATATGTATAGACATACAATTCTGTATGGGAAATTCATTAAATAAAGAGTGGAGTCAATAATTTGAATTTGCCAATGGCTTAGAGAAAAGTAATTTTAATCTTTATAAAGTAGTTAAAATTTTTTTTTTCTATTTGGGGAAAATGAAGTATCAATTTGAGAATTATTGTCAGACCATGGAAAGATATAACATAATCTAATCCATTGACTTCATTTATAGATGAGGAGAGTAAGGCCCAGGGAAGTTAAGGAAAGCTTTTAAAAAATAGTACAGGCAGTTAGTGGTAGAGCTGGGACATTAGTCAGTGATTCTTCTCTTCCATTTCCACTGCCTCTTTTTTTTTTTTTAACTGCACCTTCTGCCTCCAGCTCTGCTTTTATATTTCCTTTTATTGTTAATTTGAGCTAAGTGTTCTTTCTTATAAAATTGAAAAAACATTGATTTTTTTTTAAAACAAGTCACCTACTAAGACTAGAGGAAAAGACTGTTATATACTTGGAAAAGGTCAAATGGGGAAGCTCTGAAAATGATGGCATCTGCTTTTTAGAGAAAACTCACCATGTGCCCGGCACTACGCTCAATGCCTTACAAATATTAGTTTATTTAAACCACACAACCAACTTATACTATCTGCTCTATCAAAGGATTAGTTTTTGTTTAAATTGTATGCAGATTCTTTCTATCTTTGACTTAATCAAAACATGATATAGAACTCATGACTAATTCTCTGGTTGTTTCAAAAGGTGACCTTTCATATGGCCCAAATGTCAGTGATCATAGAGATTGGAGCTATTCTGTAAGAATTTTTATTGATTCGCTGGTGATTTATATTGTGGTGTGAAATTGCCCTACTGTTTATATTTTTAAACATAATGTAAGATAACAATTGTCATGAACAAAGTCTGTGTGTATATATTTATGTATTTCCCACTACTAAGAAAGAGTAGTTTGCATTCTGAATGTTCATAAAAGAATAAAGAAAATGACAGTTAAAAAGGAGTGCTCAGAAAAACACAGATTAAATAACCTGAGAGGTAAAGTGTTACTTTTTACTATTCTTTAAATTCATGAAGAGTAAAATGGTAGCAAGCTGTTCTCTATTGTTCACAATCAAGTGCATGCAAACACAGATTTAAATTGCAGAAACTCTTGGAAGTCTCATGAATAAAATACATCCCTCCTCATTTTAGATACAGTACTAACATACAGATTTTCAAACTAAAAAAATGACAAGTTCGGGAAATCACATTATTTCTTACAGCGAAAATTTGAATGAAAGGATTTCATACTAAAGTACTCTAAAATCCCATAATGTGTGTTTGTGTGTAAAGTTTATATAGACAAGTCTATGAATGACTTAAAAAATTAGGCAGCAGATGAGTAGTGCTCACCTTACTCAACATTATTACTGCTAAAAGCAGATTTGGATCAGCCAAGTCAACTGGCATTTGAAAGTATGTGTAGAGACAGTGGAGAGTGAAGGAGGCAGTGGCTCACAATCAAAGGCAGAAGAGTGGGTTAGTAGATTGTGTCTGCTAGCACCAGCACCTCCTTGGTAGCCATGCTCTTGAGGTTTGGAGGTAATATAGGAAACAATCTGGCTTGCAGAATGGCAGTACGTTTTATTAACCTCAAAAGGCTCACTGGCATCATGGGAACCACACTTTCTAGTCGGCTTTTTCCTCTGTCCATTAATGTAAACTTCCACACATGAAGCCTTGTTGATATTCCTATTACACCATTTCTAGAAATTGGGTTTTTGTGTGTGTCTGTTTGACTTTATAACTTCATCACTTTCCTGTTGTTTGGCACATAGCAAAAGTTAAATAAATGACCAAATCCATGGAACCCAAGAGGGTATAGGGCTAAAAAGTGCCTCAGCTATCACCTAGTCTAGCTTCTGTTTCATAGACACGGATGCCGAGGTACATAGCCCGAGTTGCCTAACTTCACACAAATAATTAGTGGAAGAGCCAGGACTAGAATCAGATTTGGTGAGCCCCAGTTCATGCTGACTTGAAAGCTACAACATTTTGGAAGCGTTAACCGTGGAGATACAGGTCCACATTCACAGGCAAGGCTTCTGGGACTCTGTGCGACTGGGAGGTAGCTCATTCTTAGTGGGATGTCAAAGTGAATGAAGAGAGGAGTGTAGCTGTCAGCAGACCTGGCTTCTCAGGTCTGTGTTGTAGGACTGACTACAGTCAGCTCTCTGAGAAGGACTTCCAATTCTCTACTGTAGACTTCCGAGAGGCAGTTAACCATGGGGATTACAATAGGACAAGCCAAAAGCAAGCCTTATCCGAAGTGTTAGGAACTATGCCATAAAATAAAAAGAGCTTTGGAAAGTACTTTTGGTCACGACCATTTCAAATAATTCCATAAGGCTTTACTTGACCTTTGTCATTTGCTCTAAAGGCATTTTCCTAATCAGCATACCTATTACTTATGACGGCTATTTTCAGATTCCAGAGCCTATAAACCTTTCAAGGCTAAAAATAATGAGTTGTTTATAAAAGTACAATTGGGGATTTCTTCCAAAAAATTAAAATTAAGTTAATGTTAACTAATAGATGTTAAACACATTTTTTTCCCCTCCATCACCCCTCCCTTCCCCATTTATGTTTGCTTTCAAGTTTCAAAACCTTGATTGCTCTATCCTTTAACCTTAGGAAAAAGTGACCCATGGTGTTTTCATGCCCCGAGGTTATCTCGAATTGATGCCGAGTCCTAAGGGCCACGAAGTGGATCACATAAGAGCCACATGTTTTAACAGTGACATCGTCCTGATGCCCGAGCTGTGCACCTTTCGGGCGCTGCCATGGGCCGAGAGGACCGCAAGAGTGATCTGTGACACGTTCACGGTGACGGGCGAGCCCCTGTTGACGTCCCCGCGGTACATCGCCAAGCGGCAGCTGAGCCAGCTGCAGGGCGCGGGCTTCTCCCTGCTCTCTGCTTTCCTCTACGACTTCTGCGTTTTCGGGGCGCCCGAAGTGATCAATTCCAAGACCATCTCCTTCCCGGCTGCAACCTTGTTCAACAACCACGACCAGGCCTTCATCCAGGAGCTGGTCGATGGTTTGTGTCACACCGGAGCCCATGTGGAGAGCTTCTCCTCCTCGACCAGGCCCGGGCAGGTGGAAATCTGTCTGCTGCCCGAATTTGGCATCGGTTCAGCTGACAACGCGTTCACCCTCAGAGCAGGCGTCAGAGAAGTGGCCCGGAAATACAATTACATCACCAGCTTTTTCATCGAGACTGGCTTCTGCCATTCAGGAATCTTGTCTCACAGTCTCTGGGATGTGGGAGGGGAGAACAATCTGTTCTGCAGCAGCCCCGGCCCCGGCCCCGGGCCGCTCTCCGCCACCGGGAGGCGATGGGTGGCCGGACTCTTGAAACACGCGGCCGCGCTCAGCTGCCTTCTGGCTCCTGCCGGCAGCTGCCGAAAACGCTACTCCAAGGAGAGCAAAGAGCAGCAGGAGAGTGTGCCCACAACGTGGGGCTACAATGACAACAGCTGTGCCTTTAATATCAAGTGTCACGGGGAGAAGGGCGCCCGGGTAGAAAACACACTGGGCTCAGCCACGGCCAATCCTTACCTGGTGTTGGCCGCCACGGTGGCAGCAGGTCTGGACGGACTTCAAAGCCGCGATGGTGCCCTGCCTGGAACCGAGGATGATGACAGCCCTGAGCCCTACCCGTCAAAGCCTCCTGAGATCCCTTTGAAGCTGGAAGATGCCCTCGTGGCGCTGGAGGAAGATCCATGTCTGCGACAGGCTCTCGGAGAAACTTTCATTCGGTATTTTGTTGCCATGAAGAAATATGAGCTGGAAAATGAAGACACAGATGCGGAGAGAAATAAATTCCTGGAGTATTTTATTTAGCATGGATCCCTTCCCGATTCCTTTAGAGATGTGGTTTTGTGAGTTCAGTAGCTGAGCTAGCAGAAAGAAAAGATTGCGCTTTTGTAATGAACAAGAAGATTACAAGTGCTGTCGCTCTTCTATTTTGTCGCCATGGAATGGCTGACGGACAAAGTGGGCTGCTGAGAGGACTCTGATAACACTAAAGTTGCCGTGGGGCTGTGCTACGCAAACTCACCATGTCTTGTCCAGCGGGTCATCATTTCCTGTGTATGTTGACCTCGATCAAATATTCAGTTTTTTTTTTTCAGGCAACATGTATATTCACACAATAAAAATGTCTTAAGAATTAGAAAGCAAAATTTACATCACTTAAAAAATAATTTAAATCATACAGATAGGTTGTGACTGCCAGGGAGACAAAAAGACTTGCGAGTATAATCTCACGAATCAAGACATACTGGGGATCTATTTTGCAAGCATCATCGTGATGTTTCCAAATAAGTTAAATAAGTTTGGCAAAAATATGTCATGATGACAAGTCAGCAAGAGTGTTCCCATATGTCCCTTCTCTTTTTACCCTTCTTCATCAGCAACTCCTCAAAGGCCAAGGAACTTCAAGGCTATAAGGTCCGCAAGAAAAAAAAATCCACAAGAAATAGAATTTAGGCTGGGAATGATGAGGCCAAGTGTTTAAAACCATATATTTTTTAAAAAATATATTTTATTGATCTTTTACAGAGAGGAAGGGAGAGAGATAGAGAGTTAGAAACATCGATGAGAGAGAAACATCGATCAGCTGCCTCCTGCTTCTTCATCAGGAACTCCTCAAAGGCCAAGGAACTTCAATGCTATAAGGTTCGCAAGAAAAAAAAAATCCACAAGAAATAGAATTCAGGCTGGGAATGATGAGGCCAAGTGTTTAAAACCATATTTTGAAACAATGCCTCACCTAGAAGCCCGATCTATACAGTAAGGTGGAATGGGTATGTGTGTGGGCGTGGGTGGATTCTGTGTGCTTGCTCCCTTCTTTGAAACTAGAGATTTCAAAGATACTGCTGGTGCTTTGTGAAGTGTGAGAACAACTGCCTAGATAATGAGGGCTATGTTTGCAGCTTAAATTTGTATTTAAATGACTGATTCTGCTGCCCACAGAGGTTGGTGTCTCTCTAGAGAATATTTGTTCCGGACCTGAATGAGATAATACTGTAACTATCACTAAAGGTTAGCTTCTTTTGGGAAAAATGCCAACATCCACTTACCAGCAAATGAAAACCCTATTCTAGTGCTCAGGATCAAACAGGAGATTTGTGTGCAATTAAAACTGACTGTGCTCTCCATTTAGATAGCAAACACACGAGCTGAGGATTAGAATTTGGCTCAGACTCTCCTATTCAACTTTGTAGTAGAGTAGTCCCTTCTTATCTATGGGATTACATTCCAAGACCCCCCAGTGAATGCTGAAACTGAGGATAGGCCTGAACCCTAAATATACTGGGGTTTTTTTCTGTACATAGATACATAATTTTTCACTTAAAGGAACCACTTTCTGCTTCTCTTTAGCATATCCAAATGACAGCATCACTACTCTTCAGCTTTGGGGCCACTATTAAATACAATGAGGGTGACTTGCACACAAGTACTGTGATACTGTGATACTGTGACAGTCGATCTGATAACACACAGGGCTACTGAGTGACCAATGGGTGGCTAGCATGTATACCATGGATATGATGAACAAAGGAATGATTCATGTCCTGTTCAGAGAGAGAGACAGTGTGGGATTTCATCACGCTACTCAGAAGGGCGTGCAATTTAAAACTTATGAATTGTTGCCCTGGCAGGTGTGGCTCAGTTGGTTGAACATCATCCTGTGCACAGAGAGGTCGATTCTGGGTCAGGGATAGATGTTTCTCTTTCTCTCTCTGTCTCTCTCTCTTTCAAATCAGTAAAAACATATTTAAAAAAAAATAAAACTTATGAATTGTTTATCTTTGGAATTTTCCATTTCATCTTTTCAGATTGTGGCTAGGATAGCTGAAACCATGAAAATCAGAACCGTAGATGAGGGGGGGAGACTACTCTACACAGTAGCTTAAATAGTGACAGTTGGTCTGCCCTTCACTAATTGTTCCCCTCCCTTCTTCTTTGAGCAGGAATATGTTTGTATACAGAAGAATAAGGATCTTTGTGGATGAAGTGGTGGAGAGGAAGGTAGTGTAGGGCGGGTAGAACAAGGAAAGGAAATCTTCCCTGAATCTTCCGAGAATGAGATCCCACACACTACATCATGTCAGGGAGAGGAGGGAGCAAGCCCATGGCAGCTTGTTAGTTACCTGCCAATGTTCATTCGCCCCTCTCTTCCAAGTAATAACACCTAAATATGTCAGTTGGGAACAAAGTTTGAAAAATCAAAGTGGCATTTCTGAGTTTCCATTGTAGCTGAGTATGGTCATGTTATTAGGTTCAGGGCAAGGGGAATTAAGTAGAAGTGCTGTATGGAAGCTCTGAGGAACTTTCTTAAAGGACAGATGCTCTGCTCCTGGTCCTTTCTCCATCTTTCTGCCTTTACCCTTTCTGCTGGCTGGCCTCAGATCAGGTGGCTGGAGTAATGCCCCTGGGGATGGAGGTCACACAAGGCGAAGTAAGAAGAGGGAAGCTCTGTTTTGTGGGGCAGAACTCCATTTGCCCACATTCAGATTGTAATCTGAGGGAGTAACAAACTTCTATCTCCTGAAAGGAATAGTGATTTAGGGTCTTCATTACTTGTGACAAACTTTATATTCTATCTTACTTGTGTGTGAGTGTGACTGACTGTGCGAGTATGAGTGATATGTCTGAATGTAGGTGTGTGTGGGAAATCTGAGAAATTGAGGATGAAAGAATCCTATATAATAAAAGCCCAATATGCAAATTGACCGAACAGTGGAATGACCAGTCACTAATGATGTGCACTGACCACCAGGGGGCAGACGCTCAATGCAGGAGCTGCCCCCTGGTGGTCAGTGCACATACACAGGGGGAGCGCCACTCAGCCAGAAGCCGGACTCACAGCTGGTGAGTGCAGCGGCAGTGGTGGGAGCCTCTCCTGAGTCTGCTGCAGGTGGGTGGTAAGGAGCGAAGGGTCCCAGACTGCAAGAGCCCTGGACTGTGAGAGGGATGTCTGACTGCTGGCTTAGGCGGACATCCCCTGAGGGGTTCTGGACTGTGAGAGGGTGCCCCCCCCCCAGTGTACAAATCTTGTGCACCAGGCCTCTAGTAAAGATATAAGAAGTGAAAGCCTACTTCCTCAATCTTTCCACTTCCGCAGAGGAGAATCTGAGTTAGAAGGATCCACACATGCAAAAAAATTGTATTGTCTCCCACCCTAACAGAATTCTAGAGACCCATTCAGAGTCTATGGGCCTTTGTGAAACACATCTCATGCTTTGGCTTGGTTTTACATCAATGGGTTAAAGATGTTATAAAAAAAAGAACTCTGCTAATCACAGTGCTTGTAGCCTTTATTTTTTCCCTTATACATTTTATTAGCATTTAAAAAGCACAACATTCAGCATGCCAGAGTGAGGAAATTATGGGAATATTATCTTCAGGGTTTAATGTAGTGAGATGACAGAAAATAGTCAGCCATGTGCTACCAGTCAGTTTATAGCATAAGTTGGTGTGGCCATTTTCACGGTGATTTCCCTTAGGTGTGGGCCGATGTTCATTCTTATTGTATAAGGCAAACCAGCAATAAACATTGGCCTAGAGCAGTGATGGCAAACCTTTTGAGCTCGGCGTGTCAGCATTTTGAAAAACCCTAACTTAACTCTGGTGCCATGTCACATATAGAAATTTTTTGATATTTACAACCATAGTAAAACAAAGACTTATATTTTTGATATTTATTTTATATATTTAAATGCCATTTAACAAAGAAAATTCAACCAAAAAATGAGTGTCATTAGGTTCACCATCACTGGCCTAGAGAGTTTAGGCTAAAGAAAAATTGGGGTAGGTATAAAAATTCAGTTGTTGGTTTCTATTTTGTAGGGGACTTTCTGCTGATGCTTCTAGGTACCTTCTTAATCTAGCTAAGAAGGCCAGACAGATATTCAGCAGCACTTATTGGGCACCTTTTGTATGCTGAGTCTTCTGCTGGGACTCACAGCACTAGGGGAGACCAAGACAAAGAAGATGAGCAGACAGTGGGAGAGTTTTGGATCTGTGTATCTTAAGCATAATGGAAAGAATTTGTTTGTACCCCTAATGCTGAAAAAAACAAACAAAAACCTACTTTGAAGGCTGCTTTTATGGCTTGAAAAGGATGCTTTATGGATCTCTTTACAGAAATTACTTTCTTATTTTCATTCCCTATAATTGTTCTAATCAAAGCTTAGGGGAAAATGTGATTACTGAATTTAAAGTTGGTTATTAAATGAGTATACATGAGAAATGTAAATTAAAAACGATAATATTTTAAGACTGGAAAGTAAAACATTAGTATCATAGTAAGAAGTTTCTATTTTCAAGGACATTTTATGATCTAAAATTTCATTTTACAGTGAGTGTCTGAATAACAATGAAGCTTGAAATGATTTGAAGGCACTGAAAGATCTAAAAACTAAATATGAATAAAAATTGAAAGCACACAGTGCAGTCTGAACTTATCAGCATCACACAACAGCCTATTGACATATCTGCAGTCACCTGTATAACAAAACAGACTTACCAATATGTTTGTGGTATAGGTATTATCGAACGATACCTTTAATCTTGGGTTTTCTATTACAGGTGTTAGAACCTGTATCTCTAAACACTGCATATGCGCACAGTGCCTTGCATGTTCCCTGTTAAAGCTCCTCTCATGTTGCCTATAATTAGTGGTTTACCTTACAGCTTTCCTAATTAGGATGTGAGTTCCAAGAATGAACGGCACAGATCTTATTCATATTTATAGCTATATTTATATTTTTTGTCCCTTGCCGATGTTCTGGAATTCAATAACTATTTAATTAATCAATTGATTAATCCATCACCCTATATACTATATGCATAATACAGTTCTATCCTATGACAGTATAATACTCTCACATACCTTCATATACCCAGAGAGAGTGAGAAATAGAGATGGGGACAGCTGAGAGAATCAATATTTTGTGGTTTGTTATTGGTTACAGCTTCTCTGTTTCTAGAAACTCCTGAGGAAGCACAATTTGACCAGCATGATGGGGTTCATAGAAAACAAAGAGCAGGGAGAAACGGCCATGATTTTTTGGGCCCTGTGAAACCCTCGTTAGCTTTTTTATGTTTGTGGGATTCCTCTCCTTTTGTCTCCTGCCTCCTGTCCAAAAGCTCACCTGTCCAGTTTCTCCTGCAGCCACAGTGCTGCAAAGACTGCCAATCCGATGCAATCATTCAACCCTCTGGGGACTCCACTGGGGTAGGCCTGAGGGGGCAGCAGTGACAAGCGTCCCAGTGGTGGTGGCTTAGGTTCTCGCTGGAGCAGTCAAGTGTAGCTTCCAAGCCTGATTTTTAGATCCTCCCCAGGTTCTGTGAATTACCTAATATCTTTTTATAAATCCATTTCCTGCTTAAACTAGTTAGAATTTGCAAAATGAAGACTGACTGAAAGGGAGTATATAAAAGATACACAGAGAGCAAGCAACTTGGATAAGCGGGAAGGGGAAAAGGGAAGGAGTGCTCCTTA